CCAACAAAACATTTCAGAGGCCTGGTACTGCTTTGATCAGCCAGGCTAATACTCTTTTCAGAAACCTCAGTTCTCCATTCACCCAGGAATTCAGCTTCTCAGCCAGACTCCCTCCTCTAGACTGCTCACTTCCTGAAAGCTCTGGGCTCTCTCTGCTATCAGGATCTCTTTCAGTGAAAAAGCAAAAACAAGTATTAGAAGCAATGCTCTAAAAGCCAGCTCCCTCGCATATAAGTGTTACTATAACAACCAAGAAAGCACATGGGTGCCTTTCAACATTGTTTCCTCGGGTACTCTAGAGGTGACACTACTATGGTAGGAACCATGTAGCCCATTCTTTAACCATTTTTCCTTGAAGGCTGTGGGACTCAAAGCTAGAGAGGCTGGGGGTGAGGCACAGCCCCTAACCCTCAATATGGAAACATAGCGAGTCAGAAGGGTTCTTCAGCACCATCTAGTCTGACCCCTGGCTCCAGCTGGCTTCACTCATGCCTGTTTACATATTTATTCCTGTTCTGAGGAGAAGTGGTATGATCTGTGAGTCCTTCTCAACTTGTTCATGATTTGGCACTCAAATGTGTGATTTGTATTTGAAAATTTCAAACCCTTCATGAAAGGAAACTGAGAATTGTCCTGAATGGATCTATGCATTTGTATACTTGCATCCATGTTTAGAACAAAGATTCATGGAATGGGGAAAGGATGATTAGCTAGTCACCACAGGAACTCTTCCTTTCATCTGCTTTTATTAAAAGCCAGAACTTGATTTAGACACATGGGTTTAGTTTAATATAAAATATTTTACAGAATTGACTGTTTACAGGTATAAAAGGTGAAAAATACATTAGAAAAATGCTGACTTACATATTCCATTGTTTAAACCATTCAAGTAGATTAAGATATAAATATGCATTATCTAACTCTTTATGGAACTCTTAAGTATACATCTTGCAGTAGTTCCATTGCTCTCCTGATTTTTAAAAAAATACTTTGTATCAATCTTAAACTTCTTTTAAAAATCCAGCACAATATATAAAGTATAAAAACATTCATTTCTTGAGAAAAAGATATTCATTGGTAGGTATATCATTTCAGTTTCCACAAATGACAGGTACCTAACAAAAAAGCAGTGTACCTCAAAGATCACCAAAACTGCTTCTCCTTCAAGTTGCAAAACCTTCAGAACACACCTCCCAAAGGGATCCACAGAGGAAGAATTTGTTACAGTGTTTGAGGGTAGGCACTGATGCCCCAAGTAGCTGGCCTACATGTCTCTTCCAACAGTTATTTTCCAGAAAGTTGCTTTAGTGATTGGAGGGTTGCTTGAGGTGTAGCCTAGCACAAATAACCCTATCAGTATAGAGGTCATAGATAGTATCTGACCAAGGGCCAACTTTTTGAAGGAGACAGATAGTGCACTATGCTATTTGGGTGGTTTTGTCCCAAATGTGGGAAAATTAGATTGCTCAACAAACACCCAAAAAACTTCTTTTTCAATCCCTGAAGTAGCCATGGCAGAAAGGAGCAAAGAATCAACTTGAATTCTGTAGATCTCACTTTTAGATCTGGTCTCAGGAGGGAAAATGGCTCTTCAAGAAGGGAATCTTGCATGCAGACCAGTGATAAGCAGTAGGTTGTTGCTGGGGATGATGGCCTGCTGAGTATAACAGTGCCTGGACTTAAAAAACATAGGAACTGCTTTATACAAGTCACTCCATTGGTCCCTCTACCCCAGCACTGTTGACACTGACTGCCAGCAGCTTTCCAGGCTTTCAGGCAGTTTTCCAGTCCTACATGGAGATGCTGGGAATTTAACTGGGGACCTTTCACATGCAATGCAGGTGCTGTACCACCAGGCCACAGCCCCATAGTAAATTCTATGCTTGTGGGTAGGGTGGGAAATGAATGATCTCTACAGTTGTGCCTACCTCTAGAATGGTGACAAGATGAAAACCTGCTTCTCTTATGATAATGGGAAGTTTCCCTGGGGCCTGATTTTTTTTTTTTTTTTTGAGAGAAGATGCTGTAAGACTGAATCAGTCTGTGATCAAAAGTAGCTTTAATGTCCATGACTGGAGTAGAACAGAAACTCTCAAAACTCAGTGCATGAGCTTTTACATTCCTCATGCTTTTCATATAGTTCTAGACAGGCTACTAAATACAAAACATGAACTCTCCCCAGTCCCAAAAAGATTGTTCCTGCAGCAACTTCTTTTGGAGTATCATGTTTCTGGGATGACTAGGGACAGGCCTGCTTAACCTGATGTAGAGAGGAGGGCAGAAAAGGCTGGAGGGAAGGCACTCTGCTCCAGCATATCTGAGAGGCATTTACAGGGCCATGTCTCTCCTGGATATGTTGAATTGTCTGAAGTGGTTGGTCAGGCAGGAAAAAATTGTGATCCCCTTTGAAATCCCCTTTCAAATGGCCATCCTATGGATTAGGAAACTACAACTGAAGGAGACAATTCTTTCCACTCATTCCTGTGTGTGCTGGAAGAAAAGTGTATTTTTGTCATTGTGTTTAAGTGCTAGACCCTTGAAAACAATACAGCGCCTTGCCTCCCACTCCTGCTGCCAAAACGAGCTGCTGGAGAGAGATCATCCTTCCTCTAGAGTGAAAATCAGGCATCTGTCCTCTGGACCCCAGAGGAGGTACCAATGTGCATTCTAGTTATCCACAAAGAGAGAATGTTGTTTCTGTATTTAGTAATGGGAATGAGCATTCAGTTGGAACATTGAACATGAAGATGGATGAATGAACTAAAAAAAAGTAACTTATGACTTTAAGGAAGCTACCCACTGGTTTCTTTCACCTGTTAACTGATTCTGTGCCAGATGTGACAAACTAATTTGTAATACCTAATCAGCTTTTCATCAATTTGTGATATGTCACAGGTGCAAATTTTAGTCTAACAAAATAGTTTCATTCATGTAAGATCCACTTTTTAATACTTTGTCTGAATTAGGTTGAAAGTCTCTGGTGTTAGTATATAAACAATATATTACGTTCTTCCCTAAATAGCTTTTCAATGTGCTATCCCCCCCCTCCAACTCTTGGGTTTAAAAGAGAATAATTTCTGTATGCTTATTAGCAAGTCCTAGCCTGTCTCATCTTTGAGGAAATGAAACAATTACTTCATTCAGATTCCAAACCAGACTGTCAGCCTTCCCCAAGAATAGTTTAAAAGGTGTTATCAATCTTTGTTATGTACTAGTAGTCTGATTCCATTACGGAATTGTCCACCTCTTAATTGGACTTGTGTTGTCCTAGAAAGTGAGCTGCTGTGTCAACAAAGGCAACCCCCACCCCCACAATGTCTTCAGCTACCACTGCTACTCAGCTATGCTCACATACAATGCATGGTATCTCACCTTATGTTCTTCTGTACTTGCGAGTAGTTGACATGCACCTCCATCTTTCCTTCAAAGAACAACAGGTATTCTATCATCTTCCACAGCTGGGATTCTATCCCAGCATGCACTGCTGCCTGCCACTCCCCCACTGGCCCACACATTCCCCAAGGAATGGCCTTGGCCAGCTACCCCTTTTTTTGTCTGCTGCTCACCATCTACCCATTAGAATAGCAGTATTGTTCTGCAGGAGCAACAGCACAGCAGCCCCTGCCGCTGCCACACTTCATGCCCATGCATGGCTGCCCTGACAGGTGCTGCTGCTGGAGGTGCTCCTGCCTTCCTTTCAGAAGCAGGCTCCCCATTGCCCAGCTGGCTAGGATACTCACCCAGCTGCTCCATCACCTTGCTGCTTCGCCTCCTGAGCTCACCAATGTGCCTGCACTGCCTCACCACTCTGCTGATGTGCCTATCTCCATCTGGCCTCATCATTTCACCACAAGCTCATTGAGGCAGGCACAGCAACAAGCAAGTGGAGTGGTGAGGCTGGTATTGCAGCAAAGCACCAAGATGGGGCAACTGGGCATTGGAGAGTGTGAACTAGGAGGGAAGACAGGGAGTGCTGAGGCAGCCATTCAGTGCCCTGTTGCCAGTAACTCAGCAGCTGCTGAGGAGGAGAGGGCAGTGGCAAATAGCAGCTGCAACAGCCATGGTCCTTCTTGCTACTGAACTCACTGTTTCCTTGTGGAAAAGCATTGTAACTGAAGTCACACGTAGCCAGAAGCAACCGTGAAGCACAAACTGTTGGTTATTCACAGTAACCAGACAGACTGTGATTCACCATGCTTACTGAATTCATACGTAACAAGCCACATTCTGCATTGTTTATCGTTATGTGTGTACCACAACCACTGACTTTTTCTATTCAATACCTAGGTAAGACTGTCATGTCTACAACTTCTGTGCCAGCTGGATAATTCACCATACAGTTAACACTACTGCTAAAACTTCCCTCCTCCGTTGAATAATTTCCTGCACTACAGGCGGGGTGGCAAATCAGACTTGGAACAGTGGCTTTATTCTTTCAATTCTTATGTTCATTAGGACAGATTTATCCTCAGCCATGCAATTTAAAGAGAATATGTTGACTGTCTTTGTTTTTGTTCCATTTATTTATTTATTTAGCACCTAATTTGCCCCAATCCTCCAAACTGCTAGATATCCTTTATACAATCAAGGTTGATGCTACTGGAACTGTGGCACTAAACATGAATGTATTCTCTTTTTTTAAAAAAAAGGAAAATTCTGTTTTGATTTAGCATCTCAGGTGTGAAATATCAACAAGTATTCACATTTATTAGTATGAATTATGAAAGCACCATTATTTCTCAGATCCAATGCTTTTTTTACAACAATTTTCTCTTTTAAGAAGTATCCCATTTTCATAATTCATATTTATGTTTATGGTAAGAAACTTACCTCTGTGTACTGCGTGGGAGTTTCATTCATGCAAAGTGTGTACATAACTATAAAATTATTTTTATACTTTAAAGCTTATGAGTGAAGCCTCTGTATAGTTTCTTGGTCATCAATTAGAAAGACCCAACATCTTACAAATAAAATTACTGCTGAACAGTTTGATCCCAAGTATTTGAAATGTACTACTTCATGCAAAGTTTGGCAAGAGTGTACTGAAACTAATCAAATGTAGTTCTTTCCATATAGCCACCAGCATGTGCAAGCTGCCTAAGACATACCTTTACTTCCCATGCTGGTGGGACATACTGCAACCATGTGAGTAGAGCCAACCATGTAGCTCTTTCCTTCCTAGGTGCTGCCTTCCTTACTGGAGGGTGTCAACTGTGAAGGAGGGACACACATAATTTGTTCTGCTTGCATAGTTGAGGTATTTCAAAACATTACCACCACAGTGTGCAATAGCCACATATGCCACATGGGGGAAGTGGTTCCCATGTGGGTGTGAACTGATATGCAATAGATAAGAGAGGATGTACAAATGCTCACAACTTAAAACATAAGGGTCCTGAGTAGATCTTTGCTGTACTGAGAAAATATGTAGATGGATTCGTGCTTATCTTTCAGTTGCAGTAAAAAAACTGATAGTTGCAGAGAGGAAGGACTGACAAATAGCTTTAGTAAAACATCTAAAAAATTAATCCAAAAATGAACAGGGGAATGAGACATCAAATTAGAAGTCACTCTGGTAGAAAACAACTGGAACCATTAAACTATTTCCACTTTCCAAGAGTACATGTAAAAGAGTTCTTTTAAAATCATTACTTCAAAGAAATACAAGTTATCAAGTACCTCGATCAAGTCATGATACCCAAAGAGATAGCTGACCCAAATAATTTTACTGCAGATGAAACTTACCCTGAATCAGCTAGTTACATGCAAAGAATCCACTGCTAAAAGTGTACTAGATTACAGTTCCATGTTCGTTTTGAAAGCTTCTAAGAAGATAGTGCATGCATTTGCTAAATAAAGTGCATGCATTTGCCAATTTGGAAATACAGCTACAGAGTTATTTTGATTTTGTAATTGTGGGTTATAGTCCTGTGATTACATTATAGTCCTGACCATGGCTGACTGACTTTTAATTAAGTGGATGTCATTTTTGTGCCAATGAAGGCCTCAGTTTAGTATTCTGTTCAGAATCTAATACAAAGTTTGCATCTTTTAATCCAAACAATGCCAGTTTGGGCATGGGCTTCCATATGATGTCACTGTGATGAGGTTTCATCTGCAGACTGGGAAGTGATGTATATGTGGCCTTTGTTCGACATTTTATATTTTTAAGATTTCTACAACTAGTTATTGTTGAAAGGTTAGGATTCTGGTCCTTCACTTCAGAGTCTGGCCTGAATGTCGAAACATCTGATGGTGATGAAGGCTCTCCCAAGGTATCTGGATTGTCACTTTCTAAGTGAAGGAGGAGTGGAATTACAGAATCACTACTTCCTTGCACAATAGAGAAGTCCTTAAAACATCCACTCAATGTGCCAAAATGAAAGGGAGAGCCTTCAGTAGTTGATGCTCTGCAGCTTTCCGTATCTTCTAAAGAAAAACCTGAGCTTAAGGACTTAGGAAACTTTGATACATCTGAAATATTATCATTCTTATTGAGAAATGCTGTTTCATTCAGAAGTGATGTAAGAATTTCATCATTCTCCTCTATCTCCATTAAGGCATTTGCACTCACTACTGTGTCATGCATCATACAGGGTTCATTTTGCTGTTCCGTTTCTAATCCAGAGCCCTTGGATTCATTATCCTGCACCTTTTGAAATAAAGAATCCTTTGACTTTTGCCTCTCTCCTTCTTTGTCCATTTCTTCTAATTTTGCCTGGCTTCCAGCTAATTCTTTAGTGTAGAATTTGGTCATAGAGGATCCTGGGAATCCCTTGAAGCTGGAGACCATCTGTGGAAAAAAGTTTTCTTTTTCTCCAGCAAAAGGCTTCATGGTTCCAACAAGATGTCTTTCTCCAGCTCCAGCTTCTTTTCCAGGCTGAAGGTTGGCCATTTCCTGCAATTCTATCTGCGAGAAAGAATAATCTGTCTGGAGATCAGCATCCTCCATCACATCATAATTCTTTCTGACATCCAGGCTTAAATGTCTTTCCCCTTCAGCAGTTAGTGACCTCACATTTACTATCCTTGGCATCATCGGCTCCTTATTTTCTGCAAGGCCAAATAAAGCAAAATCTGTTAGAACAGGGAGTTGACAGAAAGTAAATCTGGATCTACTGCAGGATCTCTGACAGACTTGAAATAGATCAATAAGGATTTCTGGCCACCAGCTGTTTCACAAAATCAGCAATAAAATGCTGCCCCCACCTTGCCTTAAATTTTACTGTTGAAGAAACATTTGGGATAACTGAATATGCAATAACTGAGCACTTTTCAGATATTGTACTGGAAATAAAATTCTGGGATCAGAATTCTTAATTTTAAGCATGTCTTTTGCACCAGACAGACATTGGAAGATATTGGAGTTCTAGTAAAAGACCAAAGACCATTCCAAGTTTCAAGTCTGCCCACTTTTTAGAATGCTGGCAAGACAGGAATCAGCATTCAGTGAAGTACTTTAGGAACTACTAAATGCTTGGGCATACTAATGGAATATTTTTCTTGAAAAGCAGACGGCTATGCTATATCATACTACTTTTCAAAAGTCTACCCTGTTCAAATGGGTTTCTTACATGGCATGTCAGGCTACTGTTCAAGAAATAGAAGTCTGAGGGTTCTCTGGGTACGGAATTCGTTTTTCTCATCCAGGAATTCAAAATAAATCTAAATCCTCAAATAAAAAGTGCTGATGATTTAAAGAATTAACCGCAAAGAAGAAATCTCTTACATGCTGTGGGGCCAAATCAGTGACAATGCACTTTGTGCAACATGCTGCACATTCAGCCTGTGCAACTGTTCACTCTAAGGAGAGATCTTTCAGCATCTCCTGGGGAACAGCCAGCAGCTTGTTCTTCCCCAGGTATGTGTGTGCAGCTCTAATCTTGCTTTTCCTGGGAGGAAGGCAGAAATGCCTCTTCTTGGAATGGCTTGGTTTCATTACTGCATACTAGAATTTCATGATGGCTGAGAATTGGCCATCTCTTTATGGCTGAAGACATTTTTTTCAGAGACATTATTACATATACTTGCCCTCATGACTCAGCCATGCTTTACATGCAGAAGGTTCCTTGTTCAATCTGGAATTGCCAGGTTGGGTTGGAAAAACTTCTGCCTGAAACTCTGGAAAGCTGTTTCCAGTCAGTGTCAACAATACTGGGTTACACGGACTAACAGTTTGACTCAGATGGCAGCTTCTGGTGTTCCTATGATTCCCATTTTTCTTGTCTGCCCCATTCCAAAATTTCACTTCTTTTGCCATCTCCCTCCCTTCCAGTTCCCCCCCACACTTTCATACTCCAACTCCCACATGATGCTGGGCAGGGAACCCAGGGCTGGGTTCCATGAACCTTCTTGTGCTGGGTTTCCAAACCCAGTATGGGGCAGCCCATCCCACAGCTCAACTGTAGCTCTGCTTATCTGGGTCATGCTGCAGCTGAGTAATGGGGGAGGAGAGACAAAAGAAAGTGCCTCTTCTACTTGGCAAGCTGCTTGCTAAGTGGGGTCGGGGAGGGGAGAAGCAAGTGTTTCTGTTTCACGGTCTTGCAAGACAGTGAAAGGAAGTGTGCCCCCCTCCAGCTCTACTTCACCCATTGCTTGATGTGGTGCAGCACATTTGGTTGAACCTCCTCTCATAATGAGGCCAATATGAAAACAGCCCCTGTACCTGTAGCCATCCCAACTGCAGGTGGGCTGGTGGTGAGGCACATTCAGCTGGCTATCCTTGAGAGGAGTTCCAGCCAAATGAAGTAGAAGGGTTTACCTCCCTGGTAGCTTAGCATGTTGTGATTCCAGTTGTAGAAAAGAATAAAAAAGAGAGTCCTGTGCTTGCAATTGCAATGTTTCCAAGAATACACTGAAGCTTGGGATTTTCCCTTTATGAAAACAGCAACTAAATATTTCTTCACCTAGCTTACCTGTAGCACCACTTTTTCTAAAAAGTACTGAAGGTTCTGAATGCCTGTTGGACATAATTTGTTTCATCTCTCTAGAAAAAGAAAAGGGACTTTGTTCCACAGAAAGTCTAGTAATTCCCGTAGTTTTAGCAGTCTTCATAGATTCTACTTGCTCTTCCTGATTCTTCTGTATATTTGTTTTTTGTTTTGCTAAAATGTAGTCTAGCTTCTTCAAGATCACCTCCTGTGGCTTGCCTATAGAGAAAGCAAGAGTACTAAATTTCTCTCACATTTGGCTATTCAAGTTCTTTGAATAGTAGTAAGGGAACAAGTTAGTGCAAAAACCTAATACTTAATAACACAGAATTTATAGCATTTCCAGCATATATGGCTCAAATGGGCCCATCTGAACTAATTAACCAGTTGGACAACTTAGTACTTTATTCATTTCTTTGAAATTCTAGCCCTTAGTGTTCTATATGAACCATCCCTCCCACCAGCACCCTTCAGTTTGAACCTCCTGGTGTCCCTACATGGCAGGAAATCTTTCTTCAAATTTATATTTATTTTGCCTTAAAATAAATCTACCCATGAAATCACCTCACCTGAAAGTACAGATACTTTATGAATTAGGGTGCCTTTCTCATGCAGTAATAACTGCTTCTGACTCGTCAATTCAGCTGCCTGATCAATTAGCCGTTGGATCTCTTCAACAGCCTGAAAAGAGACTATGAGGTTATTTTCAGATTTCAGTACTATATGCTATAACAAAGGTATAGCCAAGCATTCTAGAAACAAGTCAGTTGCTTCTACTATAATCAGAAAGCAAGGCACTTGAATATATTGAGAGAGTAAGCTCCAGCTAGTGAGGGGAAAGGCAAGCTAGAAAAACAGTACAGATGGAGATGATAAGTTCAGGCATGAACCATGGTAGTTATGAAGCTAAGTTACTCAGACAAAGGAAACTAAAGTAGATAGATTTATCTCAAGTCTGATAGTCCAACTTGGAGCAGAGTTAGCTCTAGCACTTAAGTTTTTGCTTAGTTTTTATGTAGATGTCTGCTCCCCCTCCCCCAGTATAACATTAATCATCTCCAGATTAATAAGACTTTTGCTGCTGTAAGAATGCAGTAACTTTCCTATGAACAAAGAGGAATTTCCATACTATGTCTTGACTGTAGAACTTTTACCTGCTTGAGGAGGATACGCTTGGCGACTCTGGGGAAGGTGTGCAATCCCAGAACCACCTTCAATTTATCAAAGAGTTCCTTAATTTCTCTACGACGACGCTGTTCATTTGCTGTATGTGTCAGGCGATAAGAAGCAAGGGTTGGTGCCACATTCTTTGGCTTACTCCTCCGTAGTTCAGACTGCTGCAGGCAAGAGTGACAATCTCAACAAATAAAATAAATGCAGTTACCTGTTCATGGGCAACTGGGCTTAACTAATTGTTGTGGTAGGCATGTGGATGGGGTGGGGGGTGAATGTTACATAATTTTTATAGTCACAATCCTATGCATATTGAGACAAAACTGGTGCATGCTTGTAGTTGCAGAATTTTTCTCTGTCTAATGTGCTTATGATTACAACCTTACTTAGTTGTTACAAGGGAGGGATAACATGGCATAATGAGGGAGAGAGCACTCTCTTCTGCTTTTTCTCCATTCTGCTGGTTCCTGATGCGCTGGGTACAGTACCCTCTGGGGTAAACATGATACTTGTGAATACTAGCTCAGTTCCTAATAAGATATCACTCATCTATATGATCAAGAATAAGGGAACTGACCTGGCATAGATTACTAAGAACTGAGTGGTGCAGACCTGTCTCAGCTCTGCCCTCCTGGTAATTCAGTATAGTGCCAGACCAGACTAAAAAGCTGGGGGAGTTACTCTTCCATTTTACTCGCCAGGAACCACCTCCACCCTGGGATAAACTATGAGGACTTTCCTGACCAAACCACCTGTGGCAAGACTCTGGTCTTGTGGGCTTCAACATCCATTGTAACAGTCTTGCGATGACCACTCAGGGCTTCATACCCTTTATGACAACCATGGGGCCACCTCAGAATGTCATTGGCTCTTTGGGGAGATCAGGGTATACCCTTGTTTTGACTTCTACCTCTAGATGGGAGTGGTGGTTGTTGTAACCCCCCTCTTAATCGAGCATGCAGCTAGGGCATGGCTCGTCACAGGTAAGAAGCATGATCAGAGTGTCCTGTTCGCGTAAGAACAAGAACCCCAACGAATGTGCACGCTAGGCAAGGCTGACCACAAAGCAGCCTTTGTTGCTATGCTCCAGCATAACGTCACGCCCTGTACACTCGCTTGCTTGCTTTAGCATAAAAAAATGTGTGCGAATGTAGCTCAGTGGATTTCCCCTATTGTTCGCTGTTATTCAAGCACCTGCATAGCCGTCCGTGTAAAAGAGTATAAAAATCCTGCCTTCGATCTGCTCAGCACCACACTCTCACGAGTGCATGGTCCCTGCCGGCAGGTAAATAAATCCCTCTCGATAATTCCAACCAGTCTCTGGTCTCGTCTGTAAAATCGCGCCATACAACAGTGGTCTGCATATTGAGAGTGACAATCATCCCACTATCAAAATCATACTACTTTCTAATCTAGGAGTTTTCCAGAAGCCAGAGCTGGCAATTTCTTGGAATCCTTGTCATACTATGGAATGGCAAAGTGCAACAGGTCATCAACTCAATTGCTCAAGTGTCCTCTTCAGCACTATCACTCTTACAGGGCTTCTTGGTTTACTGGGGGGCTCTAGACAATGAAAATGAGTCAAAAGATGGCTGGAGCATAAGTGGCATAATCCTACCCCTGAAGGTTATCGTGTGCATCTAGGAATGTATAATTGCACATATTGTATATGAAGAAAGACAAGGTGGGCATCCAGTTGCATTTTTTGGTCATCTACCTCAGTGAATCCAGTTATTAAAGCTCTCAGAGGCTCACAGTGAAGAGTTTGCAAGAAACCAACGCTAAAAGTGCCCATCTCCATGATCTGAACACAATTATTGGTACAGTGAAGCAAACAGTAGTGCTAGGGAAAGGCAAAAGGCCCTGCTCCAGGAACCCTCCTTGAAGGAGGGAAAGAGCAGGGTCTCCTCTGCAGTGGCGCTCTGACTGTGGAATGCGCTCCCCAGAGAAGTTCGCCTGGTGCCAACTTTATATTCTTTTCGGTGCTAGGTAAAAACCTTTTTACTTACCCGTTATTTTAAGGATTGAGGAATTTTATCTTGGTTTTAATATATTTACAGTCATATTTTGGTTTTTGTTATTATATATGTTGTTTAGTTATTGTTTTTATGATTGTGAGCCGTCCTGGGACAATTTCTGTGTAGGACGGGGCAAAAATATTTTAAATAAATAAATAGAAGATGATCATGACCAAAGTACTCAGAAACTGGCTATACACATTTCTGTTTATACAGCAGTTACTGAAAATTGCCAAGGCTTAATCCATATGCAGTCCAGTTCATACAATATCCCCATAACTGGTTTGAAGCTAGAATACCTTCTATAAATGCTAGGACTATGGTCTTGCAATTTTCAACACACAGTTTGTGACATAAGGAACACAGCTCAGCATCATAAGCCATGCTTTGCTTTGACTTCAAGCCTCAAGAGCTCCAGTTAAAGGATTTTGTATAGCAGGGCTAAGGAAGGTCTTGGACTAAACTCCCTGAAAGCTGCTACTAGTTTTAGAAGTCAGCCCCACAATACATAAGCTAGTAATTTGAATCAATACAGGACAGCTTCATATATTCAAGCAGTAACAGGTTCACATAAGAAAGAAACTGTGCACCAACACAGAATCCACCACTGAAGAGACAAGCTACTGAGTTGTCTCTGACTTATGACAATTCTATTAATGAAAGCCCTCCAAAATATTCCAGCCATGGCAACCTTGAAAATTCAAGGCTATAGCTTACCCTATTGAGTCAATCTACCTCATATGATTTCCCTTTTCTTCTTCTGCCTTTGAATTTTCATGACTGTCTTCTCTGGGAAGTCTTCTCATGAAGTGCCCAAATTGTGACAGCCTCAGTTTTATCATTTTTACCTCCAGGGAAGGTTCTAGCTTGATTTGATCTGGGACCCACTTGTTTGTCTGTCAGTCCATTCACAAAACTCTTCCTCCAGCACCATATTCAAACAAATCAATTTTCTTCCCATCAGCTTTCATCACTGTCTAGCATTTACAGCTACACATAGTGATCAAGAAAACAATAGTGTGGATGATCTTGGTGTGGTCTCCAATGAAATGTCCTTACACTGGACGATCTATTCTAGTAGTTCCTTTATTGCTGCACTTCCAAGTATCAGTCTTCTCTGAATTTCTTGGCAACTGCCACCATTTGGTTGGATGACTGAGCCAAGGTATACAAAATCATTCAAGATGTCAATTTCTTCATTGTTGACAATAAAGTTGTATAATACTTCTGTAGTCATGATCTTTGTTTTCTGGATATTCAGCTACAGTCCTTATTTTTGTATTTCTTTCACTTTCATCAGGAGTCGTTTCAAGTCATTCCTGCTTTCTGCCAGTAGTATGGTATCATCTGCATCTCTTAATTTATTGCTGTGTCTTCCATCAATTTTCACTCCTTTCTGTGATCTTAATCCAGCTTTCCTTAGGATACATTCTGTGTACAAGTTGACTAGATAGGGAGATAAAAAACCCCCTTGCCTGATGCATTTTCCTATGGCAAACAGTAGCTTCTAGTCCACAATATAGGTTACAAATCAGGACAATCAAGTGCTGAGGCACACCCATTTCTTTTAGGACCACCCATAGCTACTTGTGATTCATATGGTCAGAGGCTCTGATGTGGTCTATAAAGTATAGATCTTCTTCTGGCAATATGGTCTTGAATGCCTCTTCCTTTTCAGCTGGAACTTCAGGCATTTTTCACTCAATATTTATATTGCGATTTATATCCTGCCTTTTTCCTACAAAGGGCTCAAAGCAGTTTACATCATCTCTCCTCCTCCATCTTATCCCCATAACAACCCTGTGAGGTAGGTTGGGCTGAGAGTATGTGACTGGCCTGAAGTCACCCAGTTGGCTCCATGGCTGAGCGGGGACTAGAACCCAGATCCTCTGAGTCCCAGTCCCATGCTCTTAACCACTACACCACACTGGCTCTCTGTACCACCTCTGTATGAGGTGGTATTTTATTGCACCACTTTAAGCATCACTTTGTTTGCAGGGAAATTAGTGCAATGGTCCTATAGTTGCTGCACTCTTTTGAATCTCCTTTCTTGGGAATGTATATTGAACATTTCCAATCTGTTGGCCATTGTTTTGTTTCCCATTTTTGTTGGCATACTTTTATCATGGTTTGGATTGATTCAGTCTCTGAATTCAGTCTTGGAATAGTACTATTCCAGTATTACCCTACCTACTCTGGGTGCTTTAATCCTTCTGGTGCTTTATTCCAGCAGCTTCCACTTTTAATACTTCATGCTCTTCCTCATAGGATCTCTCTCTGAAGGAGTCAGTCATCCTTTCATCTCTCCTGTACATGTCTTCTGTATATTGCTTCCACTCTTTTTAGATTTGCTCCTTGTCATTTAGGATGCTCCAATTTGTCTTTCAGCATTCCTTCTCTAGGTTTGAATTTCCCTTTGATTTCTTGGATCTTCTGGAAGCAGTCTTGTTTTTGTTTGTTGTTCCCTTCTACTTCTTTACACTGGTCATTGTAATTGGCGTTTTTGTCTCTATCTGATAGTCACTGAATATTTGCCTTCAGGATTCTGACCCTATTTCTGTAATTTTTGTTTTTGCTTCTCGCCTATTCTGTCTTTAGCAATAGCTTTTTCCTGTCATCTATCTAGGCTTTTTCTTTTTGTCTTTTGACATTCTTCCCTAATAATGTCTCTGGTTTTAGTCCACTCTTCTGGCTCATGGCCAATTAAGCTGAATAGTGGAAATCTGTTCTTAAATCTTCAGGAATGTTAAGTTGTATTTTCGCACTCTTTCTCTTCATGATCTTTTGAAGCTTTATTCTGATTTTTGATATTAATAGTTCACTACCACAATATGCTCCTGGTCTTGTTTTGGCAGCAATAATACACCTTCACCATCTCCTATTTCTGGTTACTCAGTCCATTTAATTTCTGTATTTGGTGATGTCCATGTATATAGATGTCTAGTAAGTTGAATTCATCCATCCATCCATTTGTACTTGTATCCCACCTTTTTTGCCTTTCAAGCAGGCCAAGACAGCTTACATAATTCTCCTCCTCCTCTCAATCTTATCCCCACAAAAAAACAAAAAACCTGCGAGGTACATTGGGCTGAGAGTCTGTGAATGGCCCAAAGTCACCCAGTATGTTCCATGACTGAGCAGTGACTAGACTCCAGATTGCCTGTGTCCCAGTTGCACACTCTTAACCCCTGCACTACACTGGCTTTTAGTATGCATTTGCAATAAACAGATTGTTGCTTCACAGAATGCCATGAGTAATTTTGCTGCTTCATTTCCTACCCCTAGCCAAAATTGTTCTACAATGTTTGAGAATTTGTTTCCTACTTTTGCATCCCAGTCGCCTAGTATGATCAACATGTCATGTTTTGGTGTGTTATCAACTTCCTCTTGAACATGTGCATAAAGGTTTTTGAATTCTTCAGCATCTCCTGCTGGAGCATAGACTTGGATTATGGTTATGTGGACAGGATTTCCACTAATTCTGATTGTTATTATTTGGTTTGATTTTGCATTATAGCCCCTTACTGCCTGTGCTATATCTTGCCTCAGTATTAGAGCCATTCTGTCTCTTCTGAGTTTGTCATTTCTAGAGTAGAACACTTTTGTGTTTGCCGGACTGAATATGTCCCAATCTAGTCTGCTTTAGTTTGCTCACACCAAATACTGTGATGTTTAACCATTCCATTTCTTCCTTCGTGGTTTCCAGTTTGCCCTAATTCATATTTCTCATGTCCCATGCTACAACTATATGTGTTGTGAAGCACTGACTTTCAGCCCCAGACTTCCTTTTGTCTTCGATCTAGTTGTGTCAATAGTGACAACACTATCTGTAGTTGTTCTTTGCTCGCTAGTTGAGTGCTTTCCAACTTGGGAGTCTCATCTTTTGGCACCATCTCTTGTTACATTTTGGATTTTTTCAATAGGGTTTACAAGGCAAGAAGATTCAGAAGTGGTTTACTATCACCTTCTTCTGGACAGTACTAACTAGAGATAGTTTTAGTGTCACTTGCCATTGTTTGTGAAAGATCTTCCACCACTGTCATTTTTAACTACTGCTGCTGCCCAGAAGCTGCTTTTCAGAGGCTTCTCTGCTCCAATCACCATCTGAGATATCCATTCTCTTCTGCTAATGTGACCATTACTCCTGAAGAGGGTAAACATATCTTAGATTGGTATCTCAGCTTTGACCATTCTGCCGTGAGTGACCCTGCTAGGAAACCAGGCTAGTTAGAGAGTCTGGCCTTCTGCTGGCATTCTCTTGGCTTCTCTGAATCTCTCAAATCCCCTTAGCACATTCAGGTGTACATACAAGAGGCAGTGGGAAAATATAAGCTACTGTTCTATTTATTTTAGCTACTGGTAACAAGAGCTTCCAATAAATCTCTAGCTTTTTATCCTGGCCTATCACTTTTCCAGATTGCTGCCTTAGTTGTTAGTGTCATCCTTTCCTTGGTCTGTTGCACAATAATTGTAGCATAGGTTACAGGAAGAGGTTTTAAATATTGAAGGATAAAATATTCAGAGGTGCATTCAAAAGCAAAGAAAGGTTAGACAGAGCACATGTATCTTTTAAGCATTGTCTCAAAAATAAGAAGTTTTCAATTTGCACAGGATATAACTGAAGAAAAATAAATAAAATAAATTTCAGAATCAATAATATATACAGGAAATATATTTTTTGTTATATTTATGCTTTCTGTGTCCTTTTCAGCCATCTCTAATAGCATTTCTGCCATGTGTGATACTTTCAGAATAAGACTCTGGTTGATGTGCGAGCAACTTATTTTTTTCTAATTTGGTATTATACATTGGGACTTCTAATGCCAAGGCCTGCTCCTCTTGGAATTATGATCTCTTCTCCTATCTGAACAGCACTGACCTCATCTTTCCAAATGGTGTTCTTTATCTGGAGGATGCAATATACCAGCTAGCATCTAAGTATCTTAGTTTAATTACCAGCCTTGCACACAGCTGTACAATACTTTCAAATTCCTAGGAAGCAGCATCAAATTTCTAGCTGCTCAAACAACAAGACATATGGGATTTTTCCATCTCAATGTATATCTTAACAAACTACAAATTAACTTAAGTTGTAATTTGAAAGGAACCACACAAACTACTAACTAAATAATTATTAAATGAGCTACCAATAAACATACCAGTTATGAAGGGCATTATATTCTTTAGAACACTTGCATGTAATCCAACTTATGTGAGAAACATTAGCAGCTAGTTTTGATTATAAAGATGGGGAAGTGAGTGAGAAGAAACACAGAAGGAAGTTAAGGAAAGTAACATGCCAGAAGAGAAACAGGCAGACATATGTGTTGGATCTACCAGACACGTTGCAATAGTAATTTCAATTGATCATAACAACTTCCATCATCCTCTAATAAGCTGAGTTATAGCAAAACAAAACAAAAACACTTTGCTCTCAGAAAATTTTCAATTTAGATCTAAGTGCTCACCAGTGTTTCAGTCTGGTAGACAGATATTCCATCAGTCTTTTCCTCTTTAGGGTGATCATTTTTCCCACAATTTTCTGTAACATCAATAATACCATCAATGGAGATACAACCATTTTTGGTTTTAGGTGGATTTTGTTGTATACATTTAGCAGCTGATTTCCAGGATGCTTTGCTCCAAGCTATGATAGCCTGAACAAGGTCATCTTTAACAGTTTGCATATTTCCCTGAATACCAGTTATACCTTTCTTATGGCTTGATGTGTTGCAGTTCACTTGAACATCAGTATTTGAGTTTGGTACAGACTCTTGAGTACTATCCCTGTATTTCTTTCCTAGTCCATAATTTTGATTCTTCATGCAGGTAACATCATTTTCTTTTGTTTCTTTTCCCTTGCAACTTTCCATTTCTACGGAATCACATCTCCCTTTCCTGCACTTCCCTTGCAATTCAAATTCATTTTGGTTTTCCCACTGACTTTGAGACTGTCTGGTCCCTTCCTGTTGTTGTTTTGTAGAGTTCATGCTTACAGTCTGTTGGTTTTCTTGTAACTCTTCAGCAATCAATATCAATTGTATCTGCTCTGGTGCTTCTAAACTGGTAGTTGGGCTTTGCATCTGGGCAATGTTTATGCCCTTTCTATTTGTACTTTTAAACTGTGTAGCCTCTGGTTGATTTGTGGAGCTTTCCCATAATATATGTCCTGATAGATCAGTCTGCCAACAGTTTTCAGCATCTGACACACCTTCAAAATGTCTGTCATGCTGTTTCTTCCCAATCATGCTTGTTTTCTCACTTTCTGTCCTGCTAACATATGAATGGTCTGACAATATGCCTGGAAAAACATCAGGATATAACAAGGGTGTCTCACTTGATAATTCCTCTTCTGCAAATGTATTCTTTAGAATTGTCTTTGTCATAACTGAATTTTTATCACATAAAAGTGTTTTCACTTTCAACTCCTCAAAATTATCTGGCTGATTTGCTCTCAGTTCATTTGCTTCTAGCATGGTATCAGACACTATGACTCCAGCCTTTGTGACAATTACTTCTTCTGAGTGCAATTCTATTTCTTCTTCTGGCCTCATGGTATCCAACTCCTCTTGAACACTTATACTAAAGGAATTGCTAGCAATCTGAAGGGATAAAATATTGTGGAAATTTGCGTGTGACACAGCCTCCTGCCCTGGATGATTAGGCAATGCAATTCTGCCAGACTGAAGGGGTACTGAATTAGTAGTACTGTGTACAATACTTGCAGGATAAAGTTTAAGAGACAGATCAACAGCCTGTGATTCAGATACAGGTTCAGCTGGAAGGATGGTGGTTGCTTGAGTTTCTGAAATAGTAGATATAAGCTTGGATCGAAGAGTTTCTGATGCTAGCTTTCTAGCAGGACACACAAGAGTAGAACTGGAATGACTTGCAGACTTCTCTGGAAACATACATGTTCTTGCTGATGGGATTCCTACATCAGACTCTGCAACAGAGACAATTACCATTTTTTTTCTATGTAATATTGCAAAATAATAGGACCTTAATTTTATCAGCAGAAACTTAGCCAAAGTCCCACATATTCCTTCATATCAGAAGACTGGCAACCCTATTAGGATCAAACATAAGCAAGACCTCTTCTTAACAAAAGAACATACGTTATGCAATACAAACTATAAACTATATGTAAATCAATGCAAAATATATGACAGCATGGCCAACCTGATAACCGTTCTCAGTAAATGCTAAAAGAAGGAGCAATTCTGTGGGCAGAATCAGGCTAGTTGAATTTTATGTTGGATTTACCAGGCAAACAATAGCAGTGTTCAGATTACTATCACCTGTTTATTTTTTGATTCATCTTCTGGAAATAACATCAAGAGTTTATTTATACTGTAGGGTAGGAAAACAAATCAAGAACCATCATGCTGAAAAAGACACATTTCATAACGTACTATTAAAATGTAAAGTAGCTTATCATAGAATCATAGAGTTGCAAGGGGCCAGAGTCCCATTGGTTCCAACCCCCTCCTCAGTGCAGGACTCTTAGATGGATGTCCAGATGTATCTTGAATGCCTCTAGTGTGGCAGAACCCATAACCTCCCTAGGTAATTGGTTCCACTGTAGTGCTGCAACAGTCAGGAAGTTCTTCCTGATGTTTAGCAGGAACCTGCCTTTCTGTAACCTGAGCCCATTATTCTGTGTCCTGCACTCTGGGGTGATTGAAATGAGATCCTGGCCTTCCTTTTTGACAACCTTTCAAGTACTTGAAGTGTACGATCATATCTCAATCTTCTCTTGAGATTAAACATGCCCAGTTCTTTCAATTTCTCCTCACAGGGCTTTGTACCCGGATTATCCTTGTTGTCCTCCTCTGAATCCTTTCCAGCTTGTCTGTAACTTTCTAAAACTGTAGTTTTAGAAGTGGACACAGTACTCCAGATGAGGTCTAACCAGCCTTGAGTGGAGGGGAACTAGTCCTTCACATGACTTGGGAGTGATACTTCTATTAATGCATTTGCCCTTTTTTGCAGCCGCATCACATTGTTAATTCATATTCAGCTTGTGATTTACAACAAGATCTTTCTCACTTGCAGTATTGTTGAGCCAAGTATTCCCCATCTTGGAATGAAGCATTTGGCTTCTTTTTCCTAGGTGCAGAACTTGGCATTTGTCCTTATTGAATTTCATTCTGTTCTTTTCAGCCCAGCACACCAACCTATCAAGATCAGCTTGTATCTTATTTCATCTTCCAGGGTATTGGCTATCCCACCCAGTTTTGGTTCACCTGCAGATCTGATAATTGTTCCCTGAACTTCCTCATCCAAATTAATAAAAAGGTTGAAGAGTGCTGGGCCCAGGACTGAACCCTACAATACCCCACTCCCCAATTTGGGAAGCTGCTGCTGTTAAGCATTCTTTGAGTCTGATTCTCTGGCCAACTGTGGATTGTTGTTCCAGCTAACCCACTTTTAGCTAGTTTGCTAATCAGGATATCACAGGGCACACTGTCAAAACTTTTGCTGAAATCAAGATAGATATAGAATCCCCACAGTCTATTAAGGAGGTTACCCAATCAAAAAATGCAAAAAAGTGTAGCAGCTTAAGTAGTAGGTTGGACTACTACTCTTCATTATTCTGAAGGCAGGTTGCTTTAAGGTTGTTTGATGAAGATTACTTTTTTCCTGTTTTGTTAGCTCTTGGAATGATAGTAATATTTACAGAATTATTAAGAAAAGCATGGTTTTCAAATCTCACCTCCAGAGTAACTCTCTATACCACAAGGTTCTTCAGGAACATCTGAAATATGGTCCTAAGATAGAAAGGGTACATGAAAAGCCAGAAAAGAGCAAGAGAAGTCGAGAACATTTGTGCAGGCCCATATAGGTTTTAAAATATAGTAAGAACAGGAGCAGCATGATTATTAGCTTTCCCAACAAAAAGGGACCTAATATAGAAAGATAAATTGAACATTTTAACTGTGTACATTCTCTCAAAATATTCTTTATTAATTTCCCCCACTTCTAGCTAGGGCTACAAGACAATTTAGGGCAAGGTTACCAGTGCTCATTATTGAACTGAAAGTTCTTAAGTAACATTTTGAAATAATTCTTCCATGGAACTTTTAAATTATCATGGATAATTTCTGTGATCAAATTAGTACTGATACATTAAGTGGAGAGAAATGTACATTTGTCAGTTTACCTCTCCAATACATTTTTCAGAACTGGGTGTCTGTTTGATCCCATGTTGCTGCTTTTTCTTTCCAATGCTGTCCTTGTACTTTGAGGTACAAGCATATGACCACATCTTTTCAAAGTGTGAAGGTACAGCATACTTGTGCTCCTGTTGAATCTAAAAGTCCAAACAGTTCAAATTAGAGCAACACAGAGCTTTGGAATCCACACACCATTTATTTTTCCTTGTTTTCTCTAGAATTATTCAATGCCCAGAGGATGGTCAAAAGAGGTCATTCCTTTAAGAGTAAATATCCTCTTTTTAGGGACTGCAGGTGGTGCAGTGGTTTAAACCGCTGTGCTACTGGGCTGGTTGATCAAAAGGTCACTGGTTCGAATCTGCACAACGGGGTGTGTTCCTGTTGCTCCATCCCAGCTTCTGCCCACCTTGCAGTTCGAAAGCATGCAAATGCAAGCAGATAAAAAGGTACCACTTCGGTGGGCAGGTAACAGTGTTCCGTGCACTTCGGTGTTTAGTCATGCTGGCCACATGGCCACGGAGACTGTCTGCAGACAAACACTGGCTCCCTTGGCTAGGAAACAGAGATGAGCACCGCCCCCTAGAGTCAGGCATGACTGGACTTCATGTCAAGGGGAAACCTTTACCTTTTTTATCCTCTTTTTTGAATATTATCACTTACAACATGATCCTTTTGTAAAGCATGCACTGGTCATATGCAGCAGAAGGGCTGATTACCACTGCTACATGAATTATGGGGTTGAATATGAGCTGCAACAGAGGATAATGCAGCCTCACAAAACCAGGTGTTGTGTGACTCAGGTATGGCCAAAGCTGTAAGATGCTGAGAGAATGAACAAGTCCTATAATACCACCCTGTCCTCCCACTAACACCCGCTACTCATCTTTTCCAAAATGTATACAAAAAAGCAAAACAATTTCTAAATAAGGATTACAAGCAGAGCTGACAAATACATTGCTTGTTTTCAGAAAATAAATATTTAAACAGATAAGCTTAAAAGTAAACAAAAGTTACCTGTTTTACCACTGGATTGAATTTAGGCATCCTCAGTTGATCTCTTTTTATACCGCTGCAGGCTGACTTGAAAGGCAAAACCACCTCTGAGTAAGGCTGCATCATATGTTGCGTGGGTTTAGTAGCAGATAGTGATGGCAAATAAACTGTTTTTACATCAATCTCGCTTTCTTCCTTTAACATTATTGGGAAATCTTCAATAGGTTGATCCATTTCTGCACTGTATATTGCTAAAAGCAAAGATAGCAAGCAGCTTAAACAGACAAGAAACAAATTAGGCTTCCACTCTAAACTAAGAGAAACTGCAGCAAGCAAGCGAGCGAGCGAGTGAGCGAGCGAGCGGCCGGCCGGCCAGCCTATATGGAGAACAGAGGCAATGCAAACCAGCCACTGAACTGGTATAGAAAAAGTAAATGAAAGAATGAATAAATGATAATTAGCGTGGTCTAGTGGTTAAGAGTGAGGGGCTGGAACTCAGACACTCTGAGGTGTGGTCTTCATTCAGCCATGGAGTTTACTGGGTGACTTTGGGCCAGTTACAGAATCTCAACCCAACCCACTTCACAAGATTGTTGTTGTGGCAACAAGATTGAGAGGAGGAAGAAAATTTCATAAGTCACTTTGTGCTCATTGGGAAAAGAGTGGGATGTAAACCTAACAAATAAATAAATAAACCTGACTTTAACTGAAATATTTGCCTCTGGTTGGACAATTGAATCTAGTATTACCACTGTGCTTCTCTACCCACCCCACTGCTCCTTCCCAATCTCTTTCCTTGTATCTCATGTCATTTTAGATTTTGAAACTGATGACAGGAACTGTCTGATTGTTTATTCTTGTAAACTCCTTAGGGCATATTTTCACTGGACATGGGATATAAATGCTTCAAATAAATTCATACATACATACATACATACCAATAGTCCCTGGGTTAAGAATGAGTTCCATTTCTGAGAATGTCCTTAAGTTGAATTTGTATGTTAGTTGAAGTAAGCCAAATGTTTGTCTTAGTATATGTATATTTTTTACTTTTCTAGGCAAATAAGAAACACTTCCATATTCACTAAAACATCTTAAAATACAATACAGCATTGTAATACTGATAATAATACAGTAATAATAAAGTAACTGCAGGTACTTTGGAGGGAGGGAGGGAGGGAGGGAGGGAGGGAGGGAGAGAGAGAGAGAGAGAGAGAGAGAGAGAGAGAGCGAGCGACTGTATGTATGTGTAGGTATAAAATATTGTTAAAAACAAATAAAAGAAACAGTTCTTAAAATATTTTAGAACATTCTAAGGTAACATTAAGATTAACTGATGAAAATGGGGATGTGCCTGGTGCTGGACAGTCAGGGTTTGATTGTGCTACTGGAGACAGGTGGGGTGAGCCTACCGCTGGAGTTGTTTTGTTGAAGTAGGCCTCAAGGGTCATTTGTATAGCCATTTTCTTCTTCTCATCATAAATGGTCTTGTAGTAACTGAGGGCCTCAGTAACTGCATGGTAAACCTTTGTGAACCTCTCCATGTTAGGATCTAGCTCCTCAGACTTTGCCAGTCCTACTGCAACATGATGAAAAGCTGTGAATACTGTATCTTTAGGGAACGACATGGCTAGTGATGATGTGCCACCAAACAAATTACATCATTTCCTAGAGATATTTGTGATATTCATATAGAATTTCTGGCAGTCTGGGCATTTGTAAGTATGGGTTGTTCGTAACCCAGATGTTTGTAACTCAGGGACTACTGTAATATTCTAATAACTGGATTAGCAGCAAAACACAAACACATCCACAGGTTGGTTATAGAAATATTCAGTCTAGAACTGTTCCATTTTACTTCCTTTGAACTCTCTAGGTAAAAGGAAATGGGTACATCAAGTTGTAGTCAATATATGTCCCTCTACATCCCTAGACTTTAAATTGTTATTAAAATCAATTGCAATGTGTAGTCTTTATTACAGCAAGAAATCAGATAAATTGGGGATGCTCTTTTGAAAAAAATTCCTTCTATTTCCCATCTTCAGTCTTGATTATGTAGCTAAAATGGAAAAAAAACCCACACAGAAGTGAAAGGTGCTCTGTGGAGCCCCGATATGGAAGAAAATACCCCAAAGGGTGAGAAACCTGCCCTAAAAAACCACATGCATGAGGACAGCCAAACATGAAAGGCAAAAGAACCAGAGCAGCAACAATCACTTGATCACTTAACCAGTACAGGGAAAACCTCACTGCAGGGTAACAACAGTGGTGACATTCAAAGGAGCAACAAAATGCATGTAACTGGGACAGTAGAAGGTACCCTTCTGCATACCTTCAGCTATTGGTTAAAACGAATTTGCACATTTCTTTAATTGGGGTCAGGTCAGAGAGATGCTTAGGTGAAACATAAAAAAGAAATTAGCTCAACAGCATCCCAGTAACTAATATTCAGGAGCAGACATTCTGTAATTCTGAAAGTAATATATAGCTTTTGTGATTAGTAGACACTAATAAGACTTATTGTCCAATAGCCTTTAATAGGGAATCTACTACGTACAAAAAAGAAAGTCAGTTTCATGTAGTACTTAAAAGCACGGGACTGGGACTCAGAGGATCTGGGATCTAGTCCCTGCTCAGCCATGACGTTGAGTTCTTTAAAAAAGAATATGGTGGAATATAAATCAAATAAATAGATAAGACCTATGAAATCCATAAGTTCCTTTTCCTCTCAATACAACCTATGGACTTCCACTATTATTCACTTTTTCCTAAGTGAACAAGCTCTCTCCCAGTAACCAAGCAAATGCACTGAATGTTCACAGGTTACTAGGACCAACTAAGGGCTTATCCTTAAATTCGGGCATCGCTAAGGCTGCATGGGAGCAAGTAAGCATCTGGCCTCCTCACCCTTCAGCTTTGCATTTTGTTGAGCAGGCCAGCCAGAAACACCCAGTTCCAGGTTTATTTGCTACAGTGTGAAAAACTGGAACTCTGAGTTGGGGACAGAACAACCCAGAGATTGAGGTCATTGTATCAGGGACAATTGCTTGAAAGGATGATATTTTGGAAATATATATACAAAATAGTGTCCAAAATGCATAATTTTCATGCAGACTTTGAAAAACATTACAAACAGATATAGAAACAGAATGGAATGAATTTACCGATGGAAAAATGAGAAACTGAGTGGAATTAAACTTAACAGAGTTGTCCATCTTCAATGCTAAACACATCTTTAAAGAATGCTATACTGCAATCCCAAAGGGGCTTGGGAAATAGATCTATAGAACGTAATGGCCCATATCACTGAAATAAGGTAATGATTCTGCAAAGGCTTTAAAGCAGGGGTTCTACAGATTAGGACCAATTTTGTTTGGCAAGAAATGAGCATAAAATGTATCCTATAGAAAACTCACTGCCACCATGATGAGCAGAGCAGGAGAGTTTGTGGTGCTTCAATGGCAGTCTGTTCACTCCAGACCAAGGCTTTTATACAATGTACAAAAACCTGACCAAAACCCCCAGAAAACCACCATTAGGGAATGCAGAAACAGATTTGGCTGAAGATGCAGTGCAGTTGTGAGCAGGATCATAAAAGCAGAAAAGATTGAAAGAAAAAAACAAAACTCAACATGTTCTACTAGGTAACCCACAGCAACACTATCTTGTAGTGTCCCTGTGTAATTGAGATCAATAAAGTAAGAGTAGCTACTATATTTTCCAGCTAGACTTACATTTCACATTACATCTGCTATGGTTATTCACCCAAGCCATTTCCTTTTCCTCTTGGTCCTTACAGTTTGTAAGAATCTCACACAAAGATCTTTTCAAGTGTTGCTTAGGCATAGAAGCTCCCTTTAATACAGATATCCTTCTCTTCAGACAGTCAGATGTGCCAACAGTCTTGGAGGGGCATGTAGGTTGACACTTCTCAAAAGCTAAATCAGCACATACATCCTCAACATTGCAGAAAGTGTTGTTATATTGTAACTCTTGGCTTCCAATGAGGTCATAGATAGGTTTGCTTTTGAGTGGAGGCTGAAAGAATGCACATATATTTATCTATATATGAAGAATCCAAACAAGTATCTACACACACACACATTTTCAATATACACTGTGTGAAAGCAAAGGCACAACATAGTAGCTTGTCTAATTTAAACTTGGTCTCATCAGGATGCAGCAGAATGTGCTAGAGAAAATTTGACTGCATGCAAATTGCAGCACAACATGGCAACTCACTGTGGGTAACTAGCCACAGTGGACTGTTGTGCTGTGCAAACCTGCACAGCTTCCTACAATGTGGCTTGAGTGCAACAAGTTCTCAACCAGCACAAATCCTATATTTGGTGAGTGTACCAGGTGCAAACAGTGAGTCTGTCCAGTTACACTTCAGATGTTCCAGAGAACACACGAGAGACAGAAGTGGGTCCAGGATAAGACTGCACATGCTGGCCCTGACTTAATGTACCTGTTTGCACTCAGCCTCACCCCTTCATTCTCGACCTTCCTGCATTGAACTGGGATTGTAAGTGGAGTTTTTACTCATATTTAATAGAACGTAAGTAAAATGTGTGGGGTGACTGTAAAACCTGTTAAAGATGAACCCCAGTAGAATCCCACTTAGATGTTGCCATTCTACGAGGGGAAATCAGAGAATGAAGAGCTGGAGACAGCGCACTGATGGGGGCTGGGGGGGGTGGAGTCAGTGTGCATGACTGCTTCCCTGGGAACTTTTATTTATTTGTTTATTTAAAACATTTCTATGCCGCCCCCACCGCAACAAAGCCTCGGGGTGGCTCACAACATTCATTAAAAAATTAATAATTTAAAAACTGGTACCTATCTCGGCTGTATGTATTAAAATCTATAAATACAATAATAAAAAATTAACAGCTAAAATAACTTTTAAATAAAAAGGTCTTCACCTGGTGCCGAAAAGCAAATAATGACGGCGCCAGGCAGATCATTCTGGGGAGCGCATTCCACTATCTTCTTTGGAATACCTGAAGAGGGCTCTACCTTCAGCAGCTTAGGCTGGATATCACTCTACTGACCTACATGCTTCTCAGGGAGCCATCCCCTAGGGAGGTGAGGGAGATGCTGGCTAGAAGAAAGGCCTGGGAAATGCTGCTAGCATTTTGTCTGGTTATTTTAACAATGGATTTTAATGGCTACCTGGTTTTAAAATTGATCCCATGTATGGTTTTGGTCAATTTTAGTTTAAATTGCTTTATTTAATGTTTTATAATTTTGATATATTATCTTTTATATTAGGATTATGTTGTTAATAAGTTTTGAATATGTTGTTTTAATATTATTGATTTTAGAATGTTGTGTTGTTTTTATATTATGAGCTGCGCAAAGAGCCCAGCTATGGGCTACTGTACTGGCACAGAAATTCATTAAATAAATAAATAAATAAATAAAGCTTGGAATTAACACTTATTTTTGTCCTAAACAGTTAGTAAACAGCTGAACCACTTAGCTTTAGTGCAGTGGCACAGTTCAATCATTCACAAGAATTAGGCATGTTTCCAGGAAATTACCAAACTTATACTAGTTGTAAACTAATGCATAGTAACCATTTTATATATGGAAGCATATGGAAACTTCCACATGTAAGCAGAAGACAATGATATAACCGATAGCAACTCATATGCGAAGTAAACTTTTAACAGAAGCTCCATTTGTAATTTTCAAAGACATCTATGTTTCATCTTTTCTATCTACCACTTCTTATTCATAACACACTAAAAGTAGTATTTGATTTATGACTGCAAACTTAACTGGTACTGAAGAGGAGTAAAAGCCCTACTGGCTCAAGCTGATGAAGTCATAAGATGCACTGGGGTGGGGAGGCATGCAGTGTTTAGCCTGCTAGAACTTCTTTTAGCTGCTCCAAAATGCCTCTTGTAAAACCTTATCCTTCTTACCCTCAGTGGTATAGCCTTCCATGGTGATAATGCCTTTCTGCTAGTAGAACAGCACATCCACCCCATTCTAATACTTGACCCCAGCTGCAGGATCTGAGGGTTAGGATTGCCCTGCATATTATTTTTGGCAAATTTTCTATTTCCTTTTGAGAGAGAGCTTTCAACTGTATGGCTTTTATCATACAGTCTGCTCCAAACAAAGAATTGCACAAGAAGGCCCAGATTGCCCTGTCTTCCTTTTGAAATCTTTGTTTTCCCACCAATACTTCCATCTTTCTTTTTGCCAGGGAAAAAACTATAGTAGAAAATTTGTGCAAAATCCTTTTTGATTGGAAGCACAAGGTATACTCTGATGGAAGCATCCAAAATACACCACCACTGAAAATGGAAACAGAAAGCTTGTTACTCAATTTTCTAGGTTTAATGTCTTTGTTCTGTAATATATGCCAATAAACTCACAATTCTAGTATATATTATCACTATATTATTTTAAACTTGAGCATTAATGCTAAGGAAGTTTACTTATGAGGAAAGCAAATGAAATTATTCTTTCAAAACCATACCTGAGGGATAAGCAGAGCTGCCAAAGATAAGTCTGCTCGCTCTTTGGTAATGTAATTCTGTGGCTTTCCATTCTGCAATGCAGAATCTTCCAGTTCCATCAACTCCACCTGAACCTGCTAAAGGCACATGTTCATTTGACACTGAGGTGAACAAGAAATTAAGTGAATTGGGAGATACTTGAGCCAGGGCTTCCGTATCTGTGTGAAACAATTTTTACCAACTGTTGATATGTTTACATATAAAAAGTATTCCACAGTAGTTCAGATCAAGAATATTTTAAAACATTTTTTTCAATTAGCACAGAGAAGTTCAGTTTTAGTCATATTTGCATGAATTCTGTCTGTCTATCTATTTAGGACATTTATAGGCCATCCATCAGTGTCATCTCTGAATGGCTTACAATATAAGAAGTCGGTTTGTGATAAAGCCCAAGAAGTTACAAATCACTCACTAATAGGGACCCATAATTAATCCTAGTGCAGGAATGTTGGAAAAGTTTCTTTCTTGTTTTATGACGAATTTATTTGTGCCAATTATACTGCATGAGAAAGAGAATTAGAAATCTCCTAGTGGCCTAACAATTTTGCAAATGGTTAATTATTCAGGAGAAACGGTGATCATAGAAAACTCAGCTAAGCATGCCCAACAGATAAAAAGATTATAGAAGAAAATAATTTATGATTTGAGAGCCCCATCTGGAACATATATTTAAATAGAATCTATCACTAAAGGGTCACTACTGCAGCTTACCTGAGAAATGAGCAAAGTGTCCAGAGAACTGCTTGCTCGTTCTTCAGTAACATAGGTTCGTGGCTTCCCATCCCTCAAGGCACAATCCTCCAACTCCATCAACTGCAACTGAGTCTTAGATAAACCTATTATATCATTGCTCTGTTTCTGCTCAAGCAGCTTGAAGCTGTAGTTATGCTTCTGTTTTGACAGAACATATGAAGGCACTGCAAACTTATCGGAGGATTTTACCCTGCCTTTAGTTCCTTGTTTACTCTTAGTTTTTATTTTCCTCTTTCTAAAAGTAGAAGGCAGAGAAAGAGGGTTGAACGTATGAGCACTGGGTGGAGAAACAGATTTCTTTTTTAGAACACTGTTGAGTACTTGGACACAACTGGTGCTTTTGGATGGAAGCTGGTAGGCCACTGGATAACTAAGTGAATTAGAAGAGAATTCCACATCTGTTTCCATTAGTTTCCTTTCACTTTCCAAATATTCATCCAGTTTATCACTGCAAAAGGCAGATCGGTTCTTGAAGGAGTTCGTTAAAATGCTGCCTGAATAAGTACAAAATGTGGCATGTGGAAAGAAGTTAAACATGGCTTCCAAAAATACATCAATTCCTATCACAATTCAAAAGGAAACTCCTAATTGCTTCTGTAAAACTGATAGTTAAATGTACTTCTGAGAACACTTCTGTGCTGTTTTTAAAGTGTGATTAAAAGGGACAGGGAAAAAACAATAGTTTGAGGAATATAGGCAAGATACATTCTTGATTCAGAGGTTGAGTGCCACGCCCAACAGAAAACAGAAGGCAACATCTATTATTTGCCATCAAAATGTTTCCACTGTAACTGCTGTTTCTTCCTGGTGGGTGGGTGACAGAGACAGGATTTGCAATAAGTTCTGTTGAAAAGTCTGAGGTAGGTGAACTTGGGGAAGGTATGTACATAACCTAAACTGAGTCCTCTTTCCTGGTCATATTCCAGCTTCATGGAACACTGAGAACTGGTATATGAGAGAGAGAATGAGAGAGAGAGAGCATGAGTGGGTCTGTGTCTGCACACACACAGTGACTGCAGCCTGCATTCTTAAAAATTCCTAATAAACATTATACAGAACAATAGAAAATATACCACACCTATCTATTGTAGGAACAAATGGAGGATTTATACCAGAAGTTTTCATTGTCATAATAATTGCAACTACACTGCATGTAATGGAAAAATCAAAGATCTGGCTTTTATTTTTCAAGAAGAAAGTTTTTAGCCTTTAATGGCTGTGTAGAAATCCTTAAAATCATGAAGGGGACATCTGGTCCCTAAGCAGAAACAAAGTAGGGGTTTGAACTTCCTTCACTGTTTAAAGAACTGGACATTATCCAGTTACTAAGCCTCCTATCCATTTACTAATCTTCTGTTCTATCTTCTTGGCCACCACTTGCACATCACCTATGCAAATATCTTCTGTTCCTCTACTTTTTAAGTAGCTGATATACTTAGCTTACTCAAATTCCCACTTTCACAATCAGACAATCCAACAAATAAATAATGGTGGGCTAGATCCAATGACGCCAATCTGCCCATGATTTTTGCTGGTTGACTCCATAAGACCCTCCAACTCTCTGCCTGCAGCTCACCAAATGTGCTCCCGAGGTTTGGGAAACCATCCAAAAAAGATATGAGGAATATTCAGGAAAAAGGGAAGCAAGAAGATGTGGATTTAGGAGTAAATGGCCACTCACATGACACTAGATTTTACTCAATATTGGCAAATTATTCCACTTTATCCACAAACCAAGATTTAAGATCTTTTTTCAACATCTGCAGCAGAAATTACACTCAGAATCTCCTACCTTCTTGCCTAGAAGCACTGTGAAATCTTCCTTGCCAACCCTTTATCTTCCTAAAATCATTTGTTTTCCCAGTTCTGGAAATGAAATGTCTGGCATCTAGGATTGAAGGCAGAAATACAAACTTATTGAACAGGCAAAAATTAAATATCCTATAAATGAACAACAGTATATTTAACCAAAAACTTCCTGCCATACACATAGCAGATACATTTACTGGGGGTGGCATTTATAAAGTGACAGGATTTTTAAAAAATCTAAATCTAAATGTAGTAACAGGCAACTTTGCATATCACACTAAGCCACCCTAAGAACAAGCCATGGTGGATCGTTTGCTGAACGCAGCGGTGCCAACAGATGATCAGCCTCACTGAGGCTCACTGTGGCTTGTTTCATACTCATTCCTCCTTCCCACTGCCGGCAAGTATATCGAAGCCCTTGCAGGAAAATTCCTATCATTTGCTGTGTCAGCAGCCTTTTTACTATTGGCCCACAATGATCCGGGCATGTCTTACCTTTGCCAGCTGCAGAAAGAATGTTTTCTTATCTCTCCCCCACTCCTTGACAGATTGACACCTGCCTATGCTTGTTTTTCAAATAAAAATGAGAAATCTTAACATTCCATTCTGTGGTTGTTTTTGTCTTGCCCTTAACCCATGGATAAAGGGATGCTTTCCTCGCCTGGAGACGCAGGTTTCATTCATCACTCATCCCTTGATATCTCTATGTTCTGTGACAGCCGTAGAAGCAGCTATCACTCACTGTCCCTCCCCTATACTCCCTCTTGCACTCTGCCTACCTTAGAAACACCTCTTCACCTGCTGCCCCCACCCACTCCCTGATGAGAAGCTTCTCTCACTCATCCTATCTTTGATCCCACTCCTCTGTTGGCTGAAGAAGCAACTATCTCTCACCATTCCTCTTACTCCCCTGGAAGAAACAGTTTAGTTCTAGCACCTGCGTGGAAATACATGGTTGGTGTTGACTGCCATTTCCTCCCAGAGGAAAACACAACATGCACACTAGAGGTTGTTCAGTTGACTTTAGGCCACTCTATGGGGTAATGAAAGGATCCACCATAGACTGTGCAAGACTGACAGACAAGGTGCATATTGTGGTAGGGGCACAAAATGGTGCTGTTACAGGAGAGGATGGGAGAAGATGCTGCAGTGCACTGCAAGGAGGCAGCCCAGATGTCTGCAAGACGACAACCAACATTCTCTTGGCATCTGCCTGCCTGTTAGTTTCCTCATCACCTGTTTAAGGCAAGGCCTCATTCACCTAAAGAGTGGTTGCTATTAACCCTGGTCAGAGTTGCAGATATACGCTGGCTATTCCTCTATTTTCCCATTCATTTCTCTGAAGAGCTCATATATGTGCTCCCTTGATGCTTCAGGGCCACTGACCCTTTGCACCCACTCATTACATGCATGTCTTGGGGATGTGTTCCCTGTGTGCACTGATTAGTGATGGCTCTTCCTCTGGTGCTTCTCCCCTAGGCAGTACAGACTCTGCAGCTGCAGAAATTTGTTGCTCTGGTGGCTGTTCAGACTTTTCTTCAGGTTCATCCTCTCCTTCAGGGACTTCACCCTCACCTTCTTATTCTAGAAAGCCATTGAAAGATGAATTGCTAGGGTCTGCAAAGAGGTTTCCCAAGTCTAATGGGGATGACTCCCTCCCACACCTGAGGCAGTTTGTAGAAGAATCCTTTCAAACTCCCACCCATATCTTCTGGTGGGTTTACCAATATGACCATATGAGTTTACCAATATCTGGTTTAGGGTCAACAGTACTGTGATGTTCCCACTGCTGCTCCTTCTCCAAACACAGGTGCATGAGCAGAAAAGCTAGGAGAAACCTACTCTTGAGGACCACTATCCATACCTTCCAGTGGAAGGTCCAGGTTTGATTGCATTTTTCTTGGAAAAATAATTTCTAAATAGTGCTGCTGAAACCCTTAATGGAACATATTTCATTGTATTTCAATGTATTTTATCATGTTGTAAGCCGCCCCGAGGTTTCGGCAAGGGGCGGCATAGAAATGTTATAATAATAATAATAATAATAATAATAATAATAATAATAATAATAATAATATCTCGGAACTCATGCAGCACATTAGAAAGCCAGGTTGCATGTCTTGCAGGAGAAGAAAAGTATTTTTCTGTTATTGAAAATAATTATGCAAAACTTCAGCAAAGACAGCCCAAATATCCATCTAGCTATCCATTTGTCCATACTCATTCTAAAGATATAAATTCTCAATTTTTAAAATGTTACTCAGAATTTTATGGTAGCAGCTGTGAAATATCAGCATCGACTATTGCTGCTTCTTTTGTCAGGTTAATCTTCCCTGTCTAGATGTTTTACAAAGAGTCTTTAATGTGGACTTTGTGAACTGATGGAATTACAAAAGCAATAATTAATATGAAAATAGGGAAAGCATATGGTCCAGACAGATTTTTGAGTGGTCTAAAACATTTTCCAGCTTTTTGTTCCCAAGCTTTACTATTTGAATAATTATACTTTTGAATTAGGTTCTCTTTAGGCAGCACTCAAAGATACTTACATTACAGCAATTCCCAAACCAGACAGAGAACATACTTTCTGTCCTAATTATCAATTTATTTTAATGATCAATATTCATATAAAAACATTAAGAGCAATTTTGGCTGCCAGACTATCACAAGTTTTCATAACATTAGTCCAACTGAATCAGTTGGAATTCATTGAAAATAGACAGGGGGTGTGATAATCTTAAACTGATTGTGGATCTGATTGCATTAAATAAGTAAATAAAGTCACAGTTGTCATTATCTCTTTGAATACAATTTATTAGGAATTTATCTTTGCTTCATTGAGAAATGTTGGGTTTGCTTCAGAATTTCAGAAATGAGTTCAATTTCATATGGCATTCCCAGAGCTGGACCAATGGAGAGTTGGGACCAATGGAGTCTTGCCTGAATTTTTTTATACAAGAGACATAACACAGTGGTTTCCAATCAATGGTCTGTGGACCGGAGATTTCCTGCTGATTTGTGGAAGGGCTGCATCCTACTCACCACGGAATGGCATGGAGGCTATCATCTCTTTTTCAGTTGGTATCACGTTTGCAGGGGTGTGTTGGTGATGCCAGGGGTGCGGGCAGGGAGGTAAGAGATGACTCGGTGGCAGCTGGCTGGAAGCCATGCTGTACCGATTTCGGTATTCTTTTATTGGCATTTTCTGTTGCTCAGTTTCTGGTTGTTTTGGAGAATTTTCAATTGTTTAGTATTATGTTTGGAAACTAATACACAGAATACTATATTATGTGTATAGTACTTTATGTTTCTGCCTCAGCAGTCCCCAAGGTGGTTTTCCTGTTTTCGTCAGTCCCCAGCTGTGGAACGGTTGAAAACCACTGATGTAAACAGACAGAGAAATCCTCTCTCCCCATTGATAGTCAACTTATGTTTGGAACTCCTGGCAAGTACTATTCAACAAAATTCATAATATTCATGGATTTAGACATAATGCATTGAATGCAAACTTATTCTCTATGCTGTTGATGTTCTATTTATTTGAGAACTCTATTATCTGTTCCAGCTCAGATAAAGACAGTTAATGATTTTGGATATTTATCTAATTATCCTATTAACTGGTCAAAGTTGGAACTTGTGTCTACTGGAGATACTACACCCCCTTGTATATTATTGAATTGACAATTTAGACTGTGTGTGCTGAGTTTATTCCTTATTGAGGATATTTGACCCTAGAGATAGGATGTAAATGTTTAAATTAAATTTGCCTAAGTTGATCAATGAGATCTCAAGGGACATTAACAGGTGGGTATCTTTAAAGGTATGTCTATGTGGTAGGGTGAACAAACTTGAAAATAATATAATATCTCAGACTGTTTCTCTTTTCTGAAGTATTCCTATATTTATACTTGGCAAGAACTCCCAGAAGCATAATGTCTTGTTTCAGAATTTTAATAAAGTTCCACCAAATCACAATATTCTTAAAATGGATGTAACTTTTGATGAAACAGGGTACATTTGGCCTCCCCTAACTGAGGGATTTCTGGCTTATTTCTGGCTTATTTGTTGAGTTGCACTAGATTTTTGTCTTTTTCGCTCAGAATAGGTTTGTACAGTTTTGGATCTTCATTTCTGGATCTTCTTTGCAGAAGGATTGAATTGGGACTGGGCAGGAGGATGGTGACTTGAAAGAGGTGGAGTTAAACCATTGTCATTATTGGAGGTTCAGATCTCAATGACTTTTGATCTCTACGAGGGTGGGACCTTTTAAAATGGTCCATCCAAAGATGCGAAGGGATTCCAGGGAATTCTGGAGGGATCTGGGGGATTTTCCTGCTGGTGATCCTGTTGAAGTTCTGATCACTCTGTGGAATATGGAGATGAATTGGGCAGTTGACATGGCTGCACCCAAACACCCTCACCTTCTGAGTATAGCCCAGCCAGCCAGCTTCTTGAACTGAGGGCAATAAAGCAAGATGGAAGATGGCTAAAATGCACATGAATGAAAACTTGTGCCAGCTTAAAACTCATTATTGAGCCTATTCTGTGCCAATGAGCGTGGAAAAGAGGGAATTCTTTTCCATCACCACTGCACTTCTCTGGGTAGTCGAATGGAGATTTTCCTATGTTGTGCATGGCCTGCTACAATCTGGGCCCAAAGAGCAATGGTGAAATACCTGGGAGTATGCTATTTGCACTTGTACTTTGAGGATCAATTCATGATAGTTCTGAGTGACAATGACACCACAATTAATGCAGACCCATTAAAAAACTGTCCAGAGCAATAGCTTTATCAGATGGTTCAGTTTTATTGGGCGAATTTCAGCTGTTGAGACCTGAGGATGTGCACAACGTGCTTGGTCAAGTCCAGTCATCCACCAGTGTGCCTGACCCTTGCCTTCCATGGCTTATTCCTTCTCATAGGAAGGGGATATCAGATTGAGTCCAGGGAGTCATAAACACTTCCCTGAGCAAGGGAGAGATGCCAGCCTCTTTAAACGAGATGGAAGTAGGGTCACTTCTAAAAGAGTGGACCTAGATAATGATAGTAATTACAGACCAGTAGCAAATATTCCCTCTCTAGGCAAAGTGCTTTAGAGGGTAGTTACCAGTTAACTCCAAGCACTTTTGAAAGAAACATTCTATACATCCATGTTAACTGGGCTCCAGGCTTGGTTTTGGAACAGAAACTGCCCTGGGTGCCCTGCTGGATGAACTTTTCTGAGACAGGGAGAGTATGACCCTGTTGATTCTTTTGGACCTCTCAGCAGCTGTTCCTGACACAGACAAGGTCATTAGTGGGAAGGATATACTTGGGTTCTGTTTACTAAGAGGAAGAGGCAAACACTAGTAGGAAGACTTCATAAAAGGGTGGGAGTTAATTTCAGTACACATGCACTGCAGAAATGAAATGAAATTTTACAGTGTAAAGGGATTGAATTCTACACACTAGTGTTACATGTATTAGGGACTAGACCCACCCGAGGCCCATTTAGCTGGTGGAAGCTGCCAAAAGGCAACAGCAATGGGGAGTGTACAGGTAGTCCCCAGGTTATGAATGTCAGGGTTATGAACAACCTGAATTTATGAATGAGCAAACCTGGAAGTCCCACTTTGTCCTTGAGCATTAAGCAGGCACCTGGCAGCAAGGGAGGAAGGAAGGGAAGAACAGGAAAGAAGGAAGGAGGGGAAGAGAAGGAGGCGGGAAAAAGTGGTGCTGGCAAGAAGCAAAGTTAGAACTATAAAGCAACTTCAGTAGTAACCCTGCAATGTTCAGCAGCATAATCAAAACCTTACTCCCCAGCATGTCAATCCTCTCTCCCACACCAGTCCCATTTCCATCATCATCCAGTTAATATGAGGCTTAATGTTAGCTCAAGAAGTGTTAAATATCTCATTATTTTTTCTATCTATCTCAACTGTTTTAAAAACTCTATTGTATACCTACACACATTCATACACATTCTTGGTCTCTCTCTTCAGTACCTGTAGTCACTTTACTAATGCTGTATTATTATCATTATTAAAATGATGTAATGTATTTGAGATGTTTTTGTGTATAATGGAAATGTTTCTTACATGTTTATATGCTTTTTATATACGCGATCCAACTTATATATAAATTCAACTTAAGGTCATTCTTAGGAACAGAACTCACTGGTAACCCAAGGACTACCTGTACTTCCCATTTGGCAGGGGAGGACTTTCTTCCCCCTCCTTTTCTTTCTCTTTGGGGTAACATTATGAACTGTAAATATTTATTTATACATATTTTCATTTATATGCTGCCAACTATCATAGTCTCAAAGTGGCTTATAATACAGGGGGAATGATATAAATGGTAGGTGAGTAAGAAGTAAGTATTTGGACAGGATAGTAAGGAAAGGTGGCAAGTAGGAAGGTAAGAGTAAGTAGATACTGATAAGAATTAGAAGGCAGAGGTGTTGAGATGCTGAAGTAGAAGAATGTTAGAAGGTTGGTGGTAAGGATATGGGAAGTAAGAAGGAATCTTTCTTTCTTCCTTCCCTCCCTGGCTTGTTAGAATGCTAATATCTTCTGGGCAGCTAGTTCAGTTCTTTACTCAACTGTATTGGGATATGCTATGTATTTTTTTATTTTGCAATGGGTGGCTGTATGGACAGCCCAATTCCAGTGATTTCGGAAAGGGGGAGATAGGGCATTGGGGTTGGACAAGCCAGCACAGGAGATGAGGGGACAGATGTCTTATTGCCATCCCTTCTTCTGGTCCTTCCCCCAGCTAGATGCCTCGAGCCTTGTGGTGGTGGTGCTTAGTCAGTGTACAACAAGACCTCTTTGATGCAAAATTTAATTGTGGACCAGGGCACTGACCTGGCCTGCAGCACCGAGGCATGGGTGGAAAAAGCTGGGTTATAACACAGCACCCCACATACATAGCTGATCACACATGATGGTTATCATATTGTCCAAACCAAATCAAACGCTCGAACAACAGAACATTTGGGAAAAAAAGTTAACTTCTTCCATTTCTAGAGCAGAAGTAGCCCTACCTATAGGGCTCCACAGTTTCACTTATGACACTAGGCAAGCCCCTATGTGACAGCACAAAAAGCCCCAGCCTTCCTCTCAACCTCAGATCTGTAGAACAGAACAGAGATTGTCACTAAATCTCCTACAGATGGTTTCTGAAGCCCAGCACGACGGAAGGTTTATTGCATCCCAGTTCTGAGGTTGGGAAAAAAGCAAAAAGTTGTTTGGTGCTGGAAACACACTGTAACTACAAGAACAGTACTTCCCTCCACTGCACCGTCTCTAATTCCGAGCTGGAGAAGAGGGGCAGAATAATCCCTTCTATCTGGGGAGGAGAGCAAGGTATTGTTCCTGAACTCATCCTGTAATGTACCACAAGTTAAGAACAACAGTCACGGTTCTGGTGATCACAATGTTTTGCTTGGTCACCAAGGACAAGTGAAATTTGTGGAACCTTCTACAAGTCTAACATTTTCAGAATAATATATTTACCTTGACAAGTGGAATTTGTTCCTTGGTTATTCTCAAATACATAATCCCTTGAAGATCTCAGAGGCAGCTGCACACCCAAATATTTTAGGTCAATGCTAAGTGTTGGGTCCACAGAACCCAGCTTCAGTCCCACTACAAGAAGAATATACCACTTTAAGAATCTTTACAAATATAAACTATCAATAACCAATTCCTTTTGGCACAGACAATGGACTCAACAGGAACATGGGCAACATTAACATTAAGCTTTCAGACTATTACTACTATGTTAAGACTTAGAAGTATAATTAGACAACCTCAGACCACAAAGATAAAACAGTATTTTCCGGGAACCATCATATTGGTTTTGGAATCTATTGCTAATACACACCTTCCTGAAGACTAGGATGTATCACCTGTTTATGTCTGAAGGATTTCAAATCTTCTAAGAGCTTTCTTTCTAGTAGCTGGAGACTTATTTGACAGTCTGGCAGAAAATAAAAAAAAAGATACTGGAACACACAAATAGCTAGAATGTAAATAATATTTTTAAAACTTCAATGGTTTGCTCCATATCCTTAAACTATGTTGTACTAAGGCCATTTCATTTTAATTACCTAAAAGTCAAAAGTACCTGAATCACATGTGGTCAGTAAGGAAGCTTGTACATTCTGCAGCTCTTCTCTTTCCTCAATGGTATTATCATCAAGAATTTCCTGTATGTAACAGGGAGACTAAAATTAAGTGTTAAATATTTTACATAAAACTGCAATTAAGCATTATCATCTGCAGAGTATCAAATGTCAAATATACAGCCTAATACAAACTGCCTTGGAGAATCCAGTCTAAACTTTTGCATGAGCACATACAAAAAAATTGTAGTCTAAGTTATTACATTCAGAAACAATGAGAATTAAGAACGTAAGCTTCAAAGTATAGATGTTCTTCCATCACGGGAAACAAACCTAATTTCTTTTCTAAGAAAGAACTACATCTTCAGCTTTTACTCATAAAATGAATAAATGTCTAATTCATACAAAGTCATGCTGAATTATTTTCATTTCTATACCAAATAGTTAAAGCTCTCTGCACAGTTGACTCATAAAATTAGAAAGCACAGAAATTAAGCCTATATATTTACCTTTGTTGCAAATGATACAAAAAGGACACCATCCACATCTTCCAGATCAAGCACCAGCTCTGGTTTGGCAAAATCTTGTCCCAATAAGCCTGTCATAACCGGTTCACTGGTGAACTTCAGGGGCTGTTTTTCCTCTGAGAAGTTCAGTTTCTGCAGTCTTTCATTTTTAACTGGCTGGAAGAGCAGAGCATTTGGATCATTCTGTCTCAAACCAAAGTTCTTTAGGGTACTTTTGTCTTTTCTAAGCATAAATGGGGCTGATGCTGAAGGGGAGTTATTAAAATGAGATATTTTTTCTGATAAGTCATGGCATGACATGTTAGTATTTTCGCATGGTTCATCTGTAACTAAAGGCCATTTCTGTTGCTTAAGTTTTGTATATTTTCTTTCCATAATTTTAAGTGGAGTAGACAACTTGTTATTTTCAAAACAGGCAACTAAAGAATTCACTGATTGATTCAAAGATTTCTCTGTTGTAGTAGTGTGCAGGAAAGCAGTGACTGTTACCATATTCTCTGTGATATCAGACTCTAGGTGGCCTTCAGGCATTGCCTTGCTATCCAGTTTTAACAGACTACTCTGGCTAATTGCCAGATTCAATTTCCACTTCCATTCTTCCCATTTTATTCTGTTTCTTCAGCTATTTCTCCAATATGAGGTTGTCACCTTTACAGAAATATTCCTCTGGCTGTTTATTCCTCTGTCAGTTTCTTTCTGCTTCACAAATGTACTTTCAGTTTTTATACTTGGTCTGTAATCATGGTCATCTATAGGCTCATCTTTAACTGAAATGTTAATACAGTCATTTGAGTTGAACAGGAATTTTACATAGAAGTCAGTTTCAGAAGGGTTGATCACTGGACTGGAGGAAAAAAAATCTAGGGTAATAGAGGAAAAAAAATAATTTAGTTTAATTTAATTGAAACATTTCTATGCCGTCCTTTGCAACAAGCCTCAGGACGGCTTACAAAAGGTAAAAATAGTAATATAAAATACAATTAAAGACATTCAATAATAGCACAACATAAGAACAGTTCATAACTAAAGAAAAAAGAAAGAAGAAAAAGAAAATGCAACTGTGTATTGTTATTATTGATATTAATTTTTAAAATGGTGGCTAAATAAAAAGGTCTTTACCTGGCACCAGGAGTAGATTTGGCACCAGGCAGACCTCTCTGGGGAGCGTATTCCATAGTCTGGGCGCCACCACAGAGAAGGCCCTCCTCCGGATAGATACCCTCCGTACCTCCTTCAAAGAGGGTTCCTGGAGCAAGGCCTCCCCTGCTGATCTTAAGGGGCGTGAGGGCGTACAGGGGAGGAGATGTTCTTTCAGGTATCCTGGTCTCAAGCCATTTAGGGCTTTATAGGTTAGTACTAGCACCTTGAATTGGGCCTGGACTTCAGTTGGGAGCCAATGAAGCTGGTAGAGGACAGACGTTATATGAGAATAACAGTCGGCCCCCGTCAGCAACCTGGCAGCTCTATTTTGTACCAACTGAAGTATCTGGACCGTTTTCAAGGGCAGTCCCATGTAGAGCACATTGCAATAATCCAACCTGGAAGTTACCAGCACATGTGTCACCATTGCTAGGCAGTGCTCGTCTAGGTAAGGATGCAGCTGTTGGATCGGCCGAAGCTGAAGGAAGGTGCTCCTCGCCACTGTCGTCACCTGGGCCTCCAGGGACAGCTCCGAGTCGAGGATCACTCCTAGGCTGTGGACCCTGTCCTTTAGAGGGAGTGCAACCCCATCCAGGACAGGACCAAAATCACTTACCTGAAAGCCTGAACCGCCCACCAAAAGGACCTCCGTCTTATCTGGATTGAGTTTCAGTTTGTTGGCCCTCATCCAGCCCATTACCTTGGCCAGGCACCAGTTCAGGACAGCCACTGCCTCACCTGGATTAGATGTAAATGAGAGGTAGAGCTGGGTGTCACCTGTGTACTGATGAATCCACAGCCCAAACCTCCTGATGACCTCTCCCAGCGGTTTCATGTAGATGTTAAAAAGCATTAAAAAATAGAGCCCTGCAGTACTCCATGGCAAAGCTGCCATGGCACAGAGCTATAGTCTGCCAGCACCACCTTCTGGAATCAACCGGCCAGATAAGTGCGGAACCACTGCCACGCAGAGCCTCCAACTCCCAACCCGGCCAGCCTATCCAGAAGGATACCATGGTCAATGGTATCAAAAGCTGCCGAGAGGTCCAGGGTAACCAATAGGGACACACTCCCCCTGTCCCTCTCCCTGCATAGGTCATCGTACAGGGAAACCAAGGCAGATTCAGTATCATAACCGGGTCTGAAACCGGACTGAAATAGGCCCAGATAATCCAATTCATCCAAGAGTGCTTGGAGTTGTCCCTCCACAACCTGCTCCAACACCTTGCCCAAGAATGGGATGTTGGCCACCAGTCTATAATTGGCGGCCATGTCTGGGTCCAGGGATGCCTTTTTCAGGATGGGCCTAATCACCGCCTCCTTGGAAGGGGCAGGAACCTGGCCCTGCTTCAGTGAGGCACTAATAATCTCCTGGACCCAGGGACCAATCCCATGGCTGGCTTTTGTAACTAGCCAGGAAGGGCAAGGCTCAAGTAAACAGGTGGTTGGGCATACCAATCCAATCATCTTGTCCACTTCCTCAGGCTGCAATAACTGAAACTCATCCAACAATAATGGACCAGATGGCGCTCCGGATGCCTCCCATTCTGGGATCAGATCAACTGTGGAGTCCAGCTCGTGGCGAATCTGAGCGATTTTCTCCTTGAAGTGCTGGGCAAAGTCGTCATAGTGGGCTGCTGAGGGTGTCACCACATCTTTATTTTGACCAGCATGTGTAAGGCCACACACCACTCAAAAAAGCTCCACTGGACGGCACTGTGAGGAGGCAATGGAAACAGAGAAGAACTGCCACTTCGTCATCCTCACTGCCACAGCATAGGCTTGATAATGAGCACGTGAGTTCGGTCAGATTCGTCCCGTGATTTTCTCCACTTGTACTCTAATTGTCTCCCAGCCTGCTTCATTGCCCACAAGTCAGGCATATACCATGGTGCTGAGCGGGCTCTGCTAGATGAGAGAGGGCACTCGGGAGCGATCATGTCAATTGCCCTGGTCATTTTCCCATTCTACAGATTGACCAGGGCATCAACAGAAGCACCAACTTTATCCACCAGAAAATCTCCCAGAGCCCTCAGGAATCCATCTGGATCCATAAGACTCCGGGGCAGACCATCTTAATACAGTCTGCACCCTTCCAGAGAGATCAGTCCCAAGCTCAAACCTCACAAGGAAGTGATCTGACCATGTCAAAGGGTCAAATTCCTCACTTCCAGATCACCCTCTTCCTGCCCAGTCGAGAAAACCAGATCCAGTGACCTCTTTCATGGGTTGGGTCAGTGACATCTTGAGACAACCCCATGGCTGCCATGGAAGCCATGAATTCCTGAGCCTCCCCGGACTGAAAAGCCTCAGCATGGAAACTGAAGTCCCCAAGGACTATCATCCTGAGGGTCCTCAATACCAGGTTCAAGATGATCTCTGTCAGCTCAGGCAGAGAGTCTGATGGGCAGGAGGGTGCACGGTACACCTGCAGAATCCCTAATCTGTCTTGATCACCCAATACCAGGTACAAACACTCAAGTCCTGGCCTTGAAGGGACAGGAAGCCCTCTAAGGGAGACTGAGTCTTGAAAAACCAGGATGATCCCCCTCCCCTTCCCTCTGGGCATGGCTGGTGCTGCATCGGGTACCCAGGTGGGCAAAGCTGGGTGAGGTCTCCATAATACATGCCAGGTCAGCGCCCTCATCCACAATTAAATTGTGGATGACGGATGTTTTATTATGGACTGACCTGGCATTCAGTAGCAGCACCGTCAGGTCCAGGAGCCGGTTGATATTGCTTCCAGGAACCTTCCGGTTGGGG